GTCCATGTCCAGAGCGATCTCGGATGTGAAGGACATGTATTTCGCCAGCCCACTGAACCAAAGCGAGAACCGTGGCCCAATTTGGATGACATGTGACATGCCTCAGCCTTCACTTCCCTTGAGCACCTTTCCGACCATTCGTGCCAATCCGATCGAACAGCTTGAACCGACACCGAAAACGAACGGAACGAAAAGCTCGCTCCGTTCGCTGACCGATCGAAACCGTTCCATTCGCCTGAAGTCCGCCCTCCTCTTGGAAGCTCGCTGGATCGATTTGGAAGCTGAAGGGGATATGTTCCTGGCACCGAAAACGGGGAAAACCGATGGACCAATGGACCCCCCTCCGGCCACCATATCCGCCGCCCGAGTCAAGCACAGCTGTTCCAACGAAACCAACCACCCTCCATGTAACACTGTCACTGGAAGTGGCACATGGCCACTTGGAAGCTGTTTCGGACTGCGTTCCTCTAACAGGGGGTGTTCCACTTCCATGATTGTTGGGGGAGAGTATAAAGCTTGTTCAAAGGTATCACCAGAGTGATTTTCTTGATTCTTCTTGTGTCTTCTTCTGAATGGTGTCATTCTTATTCTGGGGTTGTATATAGCTTCCACCGTCATGGGGAAACATCACATATCTGTGCCAAATTGGTCGAGCCGTTTCCTCGTTTGAACCACAAATGCCCCCCAAATATCCCCAAATCAACCGTGGGACATTGCACGTCCGGTTTCATTTCCGGGCAGCGGCCGAGCGATCCCAACGGCGTCTGAAGATGTCTGGAGGGTCCTCCCTGAGGGTTGTTGAATGGTCTGAGACGCCCACTACCCTTTCTGATGGTCCTTCCTGAGGACCCATTGGGTTGGTGGATGGTCCTCCAGACTGCCTCTCCCAGCACCCTTTCTCTCACTGCCTTTCGCTGCATCGCTGTCGATGCGTAAAGCAGCGGATCCAGACTGCCAATCTGGGACCCAGCGGAGCTGTGACACCGGCGGCGTGATTTCTCCAGCCTCCAATCTGGTACCCATTGGTGGCTGCTTGGACAAAAAGCAGCAAACTGCCTCTCCAAGCAGCAGCTCCAGGTTAGTCGAATTGGCTGTCTTGTGTCAGCAAAAAGGAATTCAAAAGCATCGAAGGAAGGCATCTATAGATCCTGGGCCGAACGTCCAGTCCAAAACATCAAGTCAACACAAGAAAACGTTTATCCTCATCACCAGACTTGTTCTTGATAGTTTTCAGTCGCCTTCCAGTTCCAAGCCTTCTTCTTTCACTACAAACACATGGCATGGGTTATGTGGCTGGATGATCTGAGTTCAGCGGATCGGCCACCGCCACATGCACGAAATCTAGAGGTTCCCTCCCTCCCATCCCGCTCCCTCCCCCGTCCCTACTTAATTAAGTAGAGAGTCCAGGACCATAGTATACCTACTGAATTGAGAGGTATAGCTAGTACCTTACTAGTCCGCTAGCAGCACTATTCATTCGGTTCCTAGATTTTGGGGAAACTTAACTCCATACGGCTGTGTGAAGCATCCAAAAAAACAGATCCAGCTGTCCCGCCTCCCAAAAATTCTATACTTATCACCAATGACTTTAAACGTTCCATTCCTTTCGCTGTCACACACTTCTCCACTGACCCCGAAGCGGGTTGGAGAGCCACGTTTATTAACGTATTAAGAGATATCAAGAGTCTACATTCTGATGAGCTGGCCCGGTTGATTTTCAGGGAGGTTTTGGTGGGGGGGAGAGCTCATTTGAACGGATTGTCTCGTTCGGATCGTGAGGGGCTTTGAAGCGGACCACAGACCGTCCGGTTTCCGAGAGACGGACAAAAACACGAACAGAAAACATGTCTCTATGGGCACTGGGGACGCTTTTGGTGGTCAAAACAAACCAAAAATTGCACAGATCCTGCGTCTTCCATGAAATGATATAGCTGGAAAACCTCACTCCATGAAAACAATGAGTACACTTTGAGAGCCGTCGAAGTGCCTTCCATCGAGGAGCCACCCCAAGCAGGTGGTGGATTCGATGAACATTGGTGACCAGGGGGGGCCTGGCAATTCTGGGCGTCAAGCTGCCAAGAAGATGCAACTCGAGGGCCAGGTAGCAGCTCACTCAGATGGTGGTTTCAGCATGCGCAGCCCCCCCCTGTGTGGCTGAGACGGAAAAAGCTCACGCGAATGGTCACTTGGTTGATTGAAGGATCGGCATCAGCAACTAAATCGTGTTCGTCTGAATGCATCAGATCTCGAACATGTGGTTTTCCAGTGATGGCTGATCCTTGCACTATATCGCTCGCACAATCCAATATACACCCTTGCGTGCGGGTCAGCAATGGGCCCTAAACACAGCCTGGTCGCCCCCTCAGCAAAACAGGGAATAAAACAATTTCGGCATGTTTAGGCTGCTTAGGTTGTGGCAGCGCCGCCTGTCTGGCATGGCAGTCCATTGTGAACGACTCTCAATCTTCAGCGAGGGACCATGAAATCCCAACATGATGTACTATAGATAAGATTCATAAACCCCTCCTAGTTAATCCGAGCCCACAAAGCTCCGGACCCAATTAAGACTATTATTGGTGGCAAATTCTCCCTGAATAAGGCTGCTGGGTGCTAGAACGCCCCCCAGTTGATCCGAGCCCCGCAACCAGGTCAATTTTACCACTACTACTACTTCTACTACTACTGCTGCTGCTGCTACTACTACTCCTACTACTACTCCTCCTCCTACTACTACACTACTACTACTCCTCCTCCTGCTCCTACTTCTAGATCTACTCGAACTCATCAATGGTACAGTACCTCAGACCTGTTTGACCTTGTTGACGTTCCCCGTGGGGGGGGTGTATGTGAATCCGGTCTTCACATCAATAGGCAACTCCTAGAATCGTTATTCGTCAAGCTTCCGCATGCCAAGCACTGCATGTTCTCCGTCACCTCTTAAGCCTAACTACATCACCAGGAACAAGATGAGACCTGGCTACAGTCCTTTCAGGAGGCTCCAAACCGGCACTTTTGCTGAATGCCTTACAGGCGGGTGTACAATCTCAGTTCAACGAATCAAGTACGAATCAAGAATGACACCCTCAACAAACATCGAGAAGGCGCAGCCAACTTCAGGAATCAAAAGATTGAGAATCACTCCGAGCATCCCTGCGCCTCCGCACGAGTCTGCTCGGCAGCGAACTGGACTACACGGACGTATGACGTAGCTACTGAGAGCGCTTCGGTCGTCGCTCTGGCAAAGTCAGGGTTGAGCACGTCGCAGCAACACATGTGGCAGCCTGGGCTGGGCAAGCCGCGGGCTGCAGAAGGCGTGGAAGATAACAACGGGGGGCAGGTTGGCTGGAATGGCCTGGCAGCAAAAACACCATGACCCTGACTCGATCTTAATTGTTTGTTGAGCGAGTGGGATATAAGAAACAGGGGTCAAGGGAGGCTGTCTCTAGGTTTATAGCACCTAAAATGCAGCCACCGTGTGATGCAAAGGCAATTTGATACAGAAAGAAGGTGCATGCTTGTTTGCACTGTTGCTGCATCATCTTACTGGTCTATTGATATAAACCATGCCACGTTCCATGTGTGTGTGTGCGCGCGATCAGGATGATCAGGGAAAGATCCCCCGATCCGGATTGTCCCATTGTGCCGGATAAGAGATTCCGTCGTCCCAACCGCCCTCTGCCCAGCCACAAAGAGGGGGCAGGAGACCTTCGTAGAGAGCATCCCACACATTGGTGCCACGATTCCACCGGTGCGTGCCGTCGTCTCGCAGGCCATGACGGCCAACTCCTGTGAGAGGCGCGAGGGACCTGGTCATGAGCTCCGTCATGGGAGCCGTTTCTGAGGTTGGTGCATCCAAATTCACACCAAACAAGTAGGGCAGGGGCTTGCAGCCAAGGATGGTGGGTGTAAGGGATTCGTCTGCATCCTAGTTCTAACGTTCTTTCCCTAAAGATTCCCCCAGCTACCCCGGACAGTCCCAGTTTCACTTCGGTGGCGCGTCTCTCGCGCGATCTCGCGAGTTGCACGTATGTTTTGTTGCTTTTTGAACAGGTGCCATCTGGAGGTTCAAGATGGTCCAAGCAACCTGGACAAGGGGACATGACCCACCAATCTACTTAGTACCAGAACCTCCAACAGGATCCAACAATTCGACCTCATGGGAGGCTCCTTTTTGTTTGCGAACTCCCATGACCTCCCCTCCAAGATCTTCCACCACCCTCCAATCGATAGGACAAACAGAGACCTCCCAAATCCCTTTCGATTCAACATTTGCATCCAGCTGGATGTATCTGGATGTAGTGTCACCATCCCCGGAGCCGCGTTTTGTGAAGAACTGTTCTTCGGCAAGCCGTTTTGTGGCAGAACGCGCCTCCTGTGCAGAGCCTTGAAAAATCTCCCCCCAAGGCCACGTAGATGGTGGTGAAGCAAACGTCCAGGAAAAGCTTGCCTAAGCCAGGAAACATCAGGAATCATCCAGACCTAGCAGATGGTACAAATTGTGCAAGTGTAATATATTTTGAATCATTTGCATGCAAAGGCCAACGTCGGAAATTGGGTTGTTGATGTTGTAAAATCAAGTCCCAAAAATGTCCTACACATTGTATGCACTACGGTCCTATGACTCCTCCATGACTCAGTGTTTTCTCAGTCTTGAAACATGGGAATCTCCCCCGTTTACACGCATTAATATGTTGGTCGGAAGCAAACACATGTACATCGATTGTCTTCAAAGACAAATACTGAACTAAGGTGTTCATTCATGGCAGCAAAATCAATTCGGTGCTCCTCCTCAAGATGCCACCACCTCCTTTGCAATGCTCAAAGCATTGACGCCAAACATTGAGCAATACTTGCAGTCAAAGATTCGTAGCACCCACAACTACACCTGACATTAACATACTGCGGCTGTTCTCAAACGACCTTTCCAGTCATCCGGCCAGCACTCCACCATCCAGCACCGTTCAGCACCGTTCCTCCCGCACGGTTCGGCTTCCAAGGGACCCACCATGGCACAAGACATCACAAAGGCGCTGCGCTCCCCAGTTCGCCTGCAGCGCCCGAAGCATGGAGAAGAATCACCAAGTATCGCAAAGCAGAAGATGTCAGGCTGAGTCAGAGCTGGGCTTTTCTAAGATCAAAGCCTGAAGGTGGTGAATGGTAAGAAGTGATTGTCCTACAAGAATGACACAAACTCATTCTACTTATATACAACAAAGTATTTCTATAAGCTTTTCTGTGGTTTGTTGAGGTGTCTTTCATCATGAGTATAGTTTTGTGCTGGTGAAGGATTAATTGGGAGTCATCTACTGGCGCCCACACAACCCCCCATCGAGTGACTCAGCTCTTCAGCCTCACTCCACGTCAGACCTCGTTTTTCGATCTCAGCATACAAGCACTCTCGGTTGAACCTGTAGGTGACGTCAAAGTCACAGCCAAGTCACTCTGACGACCAGAAATAAACAAAGAAGTTGTTCAGACATCGAATACCGCCCCATCAAGGCTGGTGTGGGCTGTTGGGTGCAGAGGTGTCCGTAAAACGGAAAGATGAGAGGTTCGTGTCGTGTGTAACTATGTTTAACATTGTTTAACTGCATCATGAGATCTCTACCATCTTTACCAGGGTTTTGGATCACATCGCAATCTACAAACGCCGATTGGACTGGATATGGCCTCCTCGCGCCGGAAGCGCCCCGCCTGTGCTGCACAGCAACAAGCAAAGCCCTGCAGCACCGAAGCAGCAACCCTGTACAGTGTTTCGACCCAAGAAATCCGTCGTCAACGCGAAGAGGTAGCCCAAAATGTCGGCACCATGCAGCAGCATACAGCCTAGGTGGGGGGACGCCGCCGGATGTCCGGCGGCTGCCTGAGACTTGCGCACGGATGGACATGGAGATGGATGGGATGGGCACAGAACAAACCGTATACCCTGGAAGACTAACATGGAACCTGAAAACGCCTGGTTGGTAGAGGAAAATAGTCTTCCATGGGACCATTGTCAGGGTCTATGTTAGTTTTCGGGAGTGTAACATAACGAAGAACAAACCCCAAGGCTTCATTCACATCATGTACCAGGAATGCTCATTGAGCGGAAGCAGCCAGGCGTCTTGGTGTAGAAAGATAGAAAGCTGGCAATCTCCTCCCCTGAACGACCAGGCCCAGACCAGACTTGAAAATCATCAAGACCGAACGCGAGGCAATTTCATTGTCTGGTTCGCAAAAACTTGCCACCTTCAGAAACCACACGATTCTCGCACACACCATGCAGGGACCACAGCCTTGCTTGCTTCCTTCGGCCATGTGGCTGAGATAGATGTCTGGGCTGAGCTGCCCAGCGCTGTAATTGAGGCCATAAAAGCCCATGCCACAGGCTAGGAAGCAAATGGACAGGGCCAGCAGCTGGCGTTTCCTGACATTTTGGCATTTCGGTGACATTGGTGGTGTGGTCTCCCTTTTGTGCTCTGAACGCGTACACAAGAGTGCTGCTGGTTCTGGTGACAAATGGAAGAATGCAGTTCTTCTTCATGAAGGTACACTATATACAGTATACCCTCCAAAAGCAGCATAGTGCAACTGTTCCTTTACAATTATATAATATAGGCATTTCCACCACCACTTGTGATATCTTGTCCTTTCTTGAAGATACATTAATCACTTCTACAGTTGCTTGAACTCATCCTCCAAATGTATCTGTCTAACAGCTCATCAGTTTAATCATATTTAATTGGTCCTTTGAATCAGTTGCTTTGTCTGCCATTGGCCAAAATACCGACAGGTTCAATGTTCGAGAATTCATTTGCCTCCAGACTATGTTCAGTCCATGGTCAGCTAATGTCAGCTATCTTAGTCTCCGACTACCTGAACCAAAACGTCCCAAAACGCCTATGTCACAGGTTTATACAGTATGTCTTTACCACCTGAGTGTCCGAACAATACATTCCCGCGGTCCAAGGCTCTGGGGCTCCGGCAAAACCTCGCTCTCGGGCGAGGGGAGGGGCACCACCGCCACCTGCGCAGGAGGGAAGTCCGGTCCAGGAAGTCCTCGCAGTCATTGAACCGGCGAATCTTTAAGGCCTGCGGTAGGGCCTTCAGATATATAGAATTTAGCGTTCAGATATTTACATTGGTGAGTGGGGAGCTTACACCGATGCTCTGGAAGCTGCACCACATATTTTACCAGCCAATGGCTCATCTACAACACTTCTGGGCTGTCAAAATGACGGCGCCCTTCCCTGCCTTCCCGGTCTGCTTGGCGAAGAGCGCTCTTCGCGCTGCCGCTGGTAGGGAGGTCAGGATGTTCCACCACTGAGGCCAAGCCACCAAAACGCCCAAGGTGGGTGGTAAGCAGCACCAAAGCCTATTGTTGCATGCGTGTTTCAGGCAGTTGATCATCTTTTTCGTTTGTTGTGTCGTTTTACAGATCATTGGTCCTTCTGAATTCTGGTTTCTTACAACTCCCCCACCATCGTTTTCATGTTAAAAAGAGCGCTGCCCCCCTTTGGTTTGGAAGGGCCGACTAGAGGCCATGTGGCATGGTCGTGGAACGAACTTCCCACCCTCCTGGCGCCCAATGGTTCGTCCAAGAGACAAGACTTCAATGCGCCAATCCATGTGCTGCGTGAGGTCCCGACAGCTGGCAGCCATGGCGATGGCCGTCAAACAGTAGAAGATGTTGTTGGCCACCTAAGGTCACAGTTGCAGAGCACCCAACATTTTGGCCACGGTCGGCGCCATCTAAGAATCTAGGCTGAGCAAACAAAATGAGGCTCAAGAAACACAACCCCCCCTTCAGAAATAGAGCCAAATTCCATCAAATCCAGGGATGAGAAGATTCACTAGACATCCATGAGAAGATTCTGCTGGCTTTTCGGCTATGTGGGTGCCTCCGTGGGCCCCAAAATATTGTAGGATGAGCCACACATCTAGAGCTGAGCTGAGCACCAACATAAACAAAACAGCTGATGTTTGTACCTTTGGGAACTGGGTACCATTCATTGCCGATGTTCCACGAGTCTCAATTGCTCGCTGAAAAAAATGGTCACAGTCTCACAGTCTGAGGATGGGACCTTCATTGCTTTCATCGGTCTCTCATTGTTTCTCCCTTGGACCAACACAGAACCGATGAAACATCGGTGTTGCTGGTACCCAGCACCCAAAGGTACCATCCCAGGGGGCCCCCCCCGTCCGCCCTTTCGATTCACTCAAGTGGCCAAGGCTTGGTTTTTACGCCCCGGCGGCATGCGCTCTTGGACGTAGATAGATTGCAGCGCAGTGAAGTTCCTGCTCGACGGCGTGGTCGGCGTAGCCGTTCGGGGCTCGCGGCTCGCTCCCGTGTGAGGAAGGCGTGGGAGGTGGCGGAGGAAGCAAGGGGAGCAATTCGATTGTTTGTGGCCAGTATATGCCAGTATAGAGGTTTCTTGATGGGTGGTTTGGTCTCTTGGTTTCTTCCAGTGTGGGAGGAATCACGAGAACTCAAGGACAACTTTCAAGCCCTGACAAGCCGACAAGCCCGGACAAGCACCCGTCAGACCATCTATGAATCTATCTGTATGCGAACACAGCAGGTCACGAACTCAGAAGGTCACGGACTTCGCTTTGCCTTCATCGTTGGCACCACTGGTTACCCATCTCATTCCACCACTGGCCACTGGTTACGTCTTCGACCGCTCCACTGGTTACTCCACGACTGCTCCACTGAAACGTGCCTCAAGAGGACTATCCCCTGACCGCCTTGCACAAGTGCAACTATACAAATACCATCGTTCTCCATGATTCTGCATTCTCGATGATTCTGTCATCCGAGTGTCAAGAGCAAACCATGAGCAAATCTCAACAGGGTAAAGACCACCAAGTTGCCAGCCTCAGATCTCGCAAGACGAACATCTGGATTAGACTAACATGACGTAACTATCGAGACACCTTGCTACTAGTAGCTTCTTGTTACTAGTAGTAATATGATGTAATAATATGTAATATGTAGTAATGCACTTGTTACTAGTTTCCAACCTGCTGTTCCACCAGAAATCCCCCCTGTCATCAACGGTTGTATCTCCACATCATTGGGCACCACAGGCCGCGCCAAGCTGCTGTGAGGTAAGGAACAACCACGGTACATGGGAAGACCAAGAGGAACCCCAGCACATGAGCCACCAACAGCTGCTCCTTGCCGAAGACCTCCATCACCTAGAAGCGACATGTGTCAGGAACGTCTCCGCATGGAACCGGGTCGGGTAGTGGAATCAATGGATCTGTGGTTTCGCCTTTCGCTGGAAGATCGGCTTCTTAAATCATCAACATGAAAGGGGCTCCCTGAGGGGCGAAGAAGTACTTGTCCAGATTAAGTTGGACTACGCACACCTCGTGAGCTACCTCCTAATGAAGGAGATTACCCCGGAACTATTTCAAGAAATCATCCCGTTGGAATGTCTGGCGCGTACTTTGCTGTTGTCACACCCGCAAAAGACAGGTTGAACTGGTGAACCAAGCCTGTAAATTGTTCTGACACACCCACAAGTCGACTGAAACCCAAGTCTTTGGGAGTAAATCATCGCAGCTGAACCGCTTCTGATTCATGTCCTCCAATCAGCTTCACTGCCATTCCGTCCTTTTTCGCCTTCCAACATAAGCGCGCGGCGTTTGTGCGTCGCACCAAACCAACGTTTCACGCGGAACCCGCGCTGCCGCGCGCCGAGCGCGGCTCCGGGCATCCGCACGCGGTTCAGGAGCAGGGCGCTCACGAGCCAACCCACGAAGATGGCCGTCTGCGCGATGGGCAGCGTTTGCTCGGTGAGGCCCGGGAGCGCTGCATCGTTTGCGATCCTCGGATGCGACGGAAAGGTCACACGACGTGGCCTTGGCCTTGGCCTGGGGAGGTGGAGTCACATCTAACCTTTTTGGGGGCAAGGTAAGGTGATTTCGTATGAGCTTGTGAGTTGGGTTCTACAACTGATCTGAACACATGAATTAAATTGAATTAACATGAACACTTCCTGAGTTTCACCAAATGTGTCACTGATTTGCTGGCTCTTCTTTTCAGGCCACCGGACATGTCGTACACTTCACCTACCTGATTTCAGCCCACCGAACGGACCTCTCCGTGACCTGACTTCCCGGACCTGACTTCCGACGTCACGAACGGTCCGAACGGTTGAGCATCGGTCTGAACGGAACCAGTTCCGGCAGACCCAGGCACGACCCATGGGACTGCCGGACTGCTGAGAAACGGCCAGGGGTGGTGCCAGCGGGGTCTGTCTGGGGCGGCAGTCCTATGGTAGTCCCATGCAGTGTCTGGGATAGTGTCCCTATCCATCCTCCGACCTGCAAAGGAAGACGTGGGCGCGAACGAAATCATGAATAGCTATGCATCAGTCAGTCAGCTTGCAATAGCTGCCCGCAGTGTGTGGGATAATGGTCTCCATTAGAGTGCAGAAGGTAATCCATCTGGTCCAGGCACCAAGACTTTGGTGTTCGACGGATGGAGGGCGCCATCGCTGGTGCTATGGATCCGATGCAAAAAAGGGCAGGTGAACGAGAATCTGCGTATAGCTAACATAGCTTCGTCATGAACAGGTTTATTGTGCTTGTCCAAAATGTGTCCATGATAGAAGGCACCTGTAGGACAAACAGCGTCTAGCCGCTCCCACATATTCTTGTTAGCAATGATTTTTGCTTCACAGCATTTGAAGGAGCTGTCCGTGTGTGTAGTGCTTGCTGTGCTGAGGTCCTCACGGTATCAGCAAGGAGGATGATTTCTTGCAACTGTTTGGGGAATAAGATCGAATAAGCATCTGCCTCGATTGTAAAGACTCAGTCCCTAGCAAATCTGAAAATATGCCGGCAGATTTTAAGTGTTCCACTTGTCTTTTTCACTGAGGTGCACCGATTCTTGTCGACCATAGTGTTTGTGGTCGGTTTGCTTGCCAAAATCGTGCGTTTTAAAGTGTTGGCGATGTTCCCTCCATCTCCGGAATGAACAGGGCTGAAAAGATCCAACATGCGTGGTTCTCGAAGTAAAGAATGCAAATGAGAATGACATGATTGAAACAAAGCATGGACCAAACATGACCAAACCTTTTCCCAAGCCATCTCACGAATGCCTCCAATCCACTCTTCATTGGTAATCAGGAGTTTTGACATGTTTTAACCACCATTGGTTTGAAACTTCAGCCACACGCGTCTCAGCTTAGTTCACCAAAGGCTTTATCAGCTGAATCCAAGTCGCTTCAAATCCACAAAGATCGGCAAGGTTTGCAGCGGCGGTAGCGTCGCCCCGCCCATGAGCATCCCAACACCCCAGAAATCGCGCCACGTCTGCGCCACAGCGTCATCGTCTGCAACCAAGGCATGCTGGTCGTCCTCCTGCGGAATAGAAAAGGTCTGGTTGAAAACGAACAAAGGTTTAGTTCAATTGAGATTGATTAACGGCTGCCCACTGCTGCGAAAGACAGGAGAGAAGGTCCAAACATGCCTAGACAAAGACATGCGATGTCCCTAACGCCTCGATGAATCCAAATCAGTTCACAGCAAAGAGCCTGCCATGGAATGATCATACCTCATGACTCATGCGTGTAATTAGAGATCAGTAGAGGATGTGAAGCTGGTGCATGCCAGTGTCCAAAGATTCAAATCTTGCTGTCAAACCATCAGAAACCCTGTAGAGTACCCAGTAGTTAGTTGGGTTAGTCCCACTGTATGCATCCGCAAGAACCACCAAACCGTTTGTCCAAATGATTCTTGGAGGCAAAAATCCAATGGCTCCAACTGGGAGGCGGATTAGTTTCCTGAGGCCTCTATCCCCCAATTTCCCGCACTCTCAAGCCGTTTCCCTGTTTCCCTGCAGAAGAAAGGTTGTTATCTAACAAGCTATAGAACAGAACTGTCCGTCTCTTGGTCTTCCGTGGAGAAACCAATCTCCCCAGAAAGCTGAAAGGTTATCCACTGACTGGGTACTTGACTGGGTGTATATTTTTATATATATATATATTGGGTCTATCCCATTACCTGTAACAGTGGATGATGATGGTTCAGTTGCAGGCCTGGTCCAAGTAAAGGCCTTGTTTACCGACGGCTCTACAGGTAAGAACGGACAAGCCCCAGTTATAGTTATATATGAATATATATATATATACACCCAGTCAAGTACCCAGTCAGTGGATAACTTATATAAAGGCTCACTCCCCATCCTCTGTCCCTCTTTTCTTCGCAAGACCAG